TGTTGCTTTGACTTCACTGTATTACAGCATAATTTTGGATTTTAACTATTTAAATTCTGTCTGCTCCCATTTGTATTTATTAATATTGTCTTATAGAATGCTACAAAATAATCAGAAATCCTGCAAAACAGTCTTTTGGAGGATGCGGGCATCGATCCCGCTACCTCTCGCATGCTAAGCGAGCGCTCTACCATTTGAGCTAATCCCCCGTTGAGACGTGTGAGTCATAGAGCAGGTTTTTGTCCAGTGCCGAAGGGAGGAGGGTGCTGGGGGAAGGGTTTGCGCAGACACAGACCTGCACATTAGAGATGCGCGGATTGCGGTTACAACCGCGGTATCCGCGGTTAATCCGCGGGTCGGGCGGATGACGTGACGAAAAATTATATTTTAATTAAATTCGGGCGGGTGGCGGTTTAACTACTAAAAAAAAGTTATTGTTAGTATTGTTACCTACATCTGAAAAGACGAGTCCCATTGTCTATGTTTGTAGTATGAAGTGTACGTCATGTCCTTAATTAGTCCATTTGACCTCGTTTTTATGTTCTGAAGGTTAAGGTTGTGTCGGGTTATTGATGCCTAAGGTTTACGAGGCACATATTATATGCAGTTTATTTTATTATTTCTAATTTATTTCAGCTGTTTGCCAACACATAAGTGGCTATAGGGCCATTTCGATATCAGTTATATTTTAAAACAAGCAGACATTATAGCGTAGACTGCCACTCGGGGTATTTCAAACTTAAAGAAAGACCGATGGAGTGAGGCTATGACTTTGAAATAACATCGGGCAATGGTAGAATGTTCAGAATGTAACAACATCCAACACGAAGGCAAGAAGGTTCAAAAAGCCTAATCGGAAAACGTTGTCAATTAATTAGCTGCACAGAAGCTGGCTTTTAGAGATGACAGAAAAAGACATACAACTAGATGAGGTCATCGTGGGGGATTAGCTCAAATGGTAGAGCGCTCGCTTAGCATGCGAGAGGTAGCGGGATCGATGCCCGCATCCTCCATTATTGTTCGCTTTTGGTCTGTCAACTCTTTGTTACTGTTATGTTTATTTATGATTCATCGATGTCTCTGTCTGCAGAATCATTACTGTTTTTTCACATCCATTTTGATGTAAAGTCTACAAAACTCTGATCTGATATTCATCGTTTGTTGCCTGCCTGTAGTACTTTTGAAAAATAATTATCATCTAATTAAGACGATAACGATATAATAGTACAAACTACTATTATACCTCCACGTAGCTTGAATGGAAGCAGACATTTTCCTAGCCTTAAAATGTATTTATTTATTGAATAGGGACAGTGCATATTAATGAACATCTACAACACTGCAGCGTAAATATGACAGATTAGGGCAAGAATGCTAATTTCCATCTGTAGTCCCTAGGCAGGTAACACCACAAAAAACAAAAAGAAGTGAGAGTTATACATTTAAAGTGTCCACAAGTCTGGTTTTCCTTTAGCTGCTGTTTCTGGTAGGACTACAAAGTGGCAAGAGTTGGAGTTTCTCTTATTGATAGTGGCAAACTGTTCCAAAATGTTGTGCCTCTGACTGAGACACAGTTTGTCCGAATGTGGAGCGTCTGTGTGGAGCTCACAGTTCCCCCGGGCTGTGGCATTAGTTCCCACTGACAGTCTTTACTTTAACAAAACCCAGTAACGGAGGAGGGGCAAGTCCATGCAAAACTTTATAGATAAAACATCCATATTTAAAATCAACAAAATTATTAAAATTAAGCAAATTGTATTTATCTAAAATAGTGTCAGTGTGCCAGCAGCGAGTGACCATGTGGTTCTGCAATCCTCTAATATGAGACAGAATCATGGAGTGAATAAACATTTGTGCCACATATAGAGTCATAAAAGATCTTGTCTAAAATTCAATAAGTTAAAATTAACACTTTTTGTGAGGCGTTTAATGTGTTTCTTAAATGTCAGTGTCATGTCCATGTTCCACCTCATCCACAAAGACATAGAAGAAGAAAAGAACTCCACCCTCCTCCATAGAACTACAGATCCATGCCCTCCTCTGAAAGCCTAGTCCAGATTACCCAGCATGCATCTGTTCCTCCTATTCAACCACCATAGACATAGAATGCATTGACTATGAACTCTCTATTGATACAAACGCAGCAACAAAGCCCCCCGTCGCGTTGTAAGGTGTCAAAACTGCGAAAGCCAAGAGGGGTCACAACAAACGCAAATGCTGCAACAAATACAAATGCGACAACACAACAAAAAGCCACAACAAACCAAAAAAAGCCACAACGGGAATGACCGGGGGACTCTATTTTAATGCAAACGCCGCAACAAATACAAACGCCACAACACAAATGCAAACACCGCAAAACATTAAAAAGCCACAACACATTAATAAGCCACAACGGAAGTGACCGCGGGACTCTATTTTCCGACGGACCGATCAAGCGGCAAGTGAAGAAGAAGAACTACAACATGAAAAGTAAAGGAACGGAGAAGTTGGAAACGTAAATAAAAGTAATTTATTGTTTTATCATTATTTGTTTCACGTTGTAGTTCTTCTTCTTCACTTGCCGCTTGATCGGTCCGTCGGAAAATAGAGTCCCACGGTCACTTCTGTTGTGGCTTTTTAATGTGTTGTGGCATTTGTGTTTGTGTTGTGGCGTTTGTATTTGTTGCAGCGTTTGCATTAAAATAGAGTCCCGCGATCATTTCCGTTGTGGCTTTTTTGGGTTTCTTGTGGCTTTTTTTTGTTTGTTGTGGCTTTTTGTTGTGTTGTCGCATTTGTATTTGTTGCACCGTTTGTGTTTGTTGTGACCCCTCTTGGCTTCTGTACAAAACAGTTTGCTCATACAAATTATGTTAGAGGAAGACCTGTGTTTTAAGTTTCATGTTGAGAATTACTTTACCAAAATTGATGTTCAAATTTAGTTTTTACCTGAACTTCAGATTCTTTGACATTGAAAGAATGAATTACAAAAAACAACTAAATCTTCAGGATTTTATTTCAAATACTTAACTCAAGATCTAGCAGTACTGACTTGTTCTTGTATTTAACTTTTTTGGGGGGGTAAAACTAAATCGTATAATGTAACAAGTAAATAAATAAAACACTAGAGTTAAATAGAAGATATATCTGACATGCATCTATCATCGCCAATGTTCACAAAAAGTAGACACAAAATGGTAAACATGAAAAACAAAATTTCATTGACTTGCCCAATTTGTGGTGAGTTAAGACAAAATATTTTTCAGCATTCGTTTGAACCCTTTTATAAAATATTTTAACAGGGGCGATTTTACAATATCACCTTAGAAACACACACCAGTAAAGTCTGTTTCTGTCTACGCTAAACGTTACTACGTTCAGAACCAGTTTTGTGGAGTAACAGATTACATGTACTGGAGTTATGTAATCAGAGTACAAATGATGAGTAACTGTATTCAGTTACAGTTACTGTTTCAGTGAGTGGTAATTGGATTACAGTTACTTTGTTGAAATAAATGGATTACACAGAGGTATTTTCCTGTTTTCACATTTTGGGCTATATCCCCCCCCCCCCTTTTTTTTTTTTTTTTTTTTCGGTAATTCCACTCATTGCCGGACACTAAATAAGGTCTAAAACCAGGTCCAAACCAGATCTAAACTAGGACTAAACCAAGACTAAACCAGGTCTAAACCAGATCTAAACTAGGACTAAACCATGTCTCAAACAGGATTTAACAGAACTAAAGCATGTTGTGCCAATTTGATTAAGTAAAGTCTGGGCTTTTATTATTTTTATTTATTTTGGCAGACAAAACATCTTATGTGAAGATTTCCTCATCTTTGCTTCTCTACAGCAAACCAAGTAATCCAAAGTATTCAGATTACATTACTCACCTAAAGTAATTTAATGGATTACGTTACAAACTACATTTTGGGGTATGTAATCTGTAATCTGTAGGGAAATACATTTTAAAAATCACCTTCCCAACACTGATCAGAACAGAGCAGAGTGTCATGTTTGAATAATACAGTACTGCCCTCTTCTGGTGAAAAATAATACAGGACAAGTGCATCTGCAAAAATAGTTGATATTAAGTTTTGAAAAGAGAAATGTAAACTCGTCCTTCTACATTTAACCATAGACCAGACCTGGACCTTTTACAGCTCCAGGGCCACATACGGCTCTTTGCTCGACTCTCACTGACCTATTTCAGCTCATTTGGAATTTCAAAATAAACATATTTTATCATTTTATGTCATATCTGGCTTAAAACATTTGCTTTTATATAAGAGGTGTTTTCTAATTATTTTTTTTGTAAGGCAACCTCATTTTTCCATTGCTTAATCATAACATAAACTCTTACCAGTCTTATCAACTTGTCAAGACCATTTTTATAAAGAAATACCATTAATATTATGCAGAATTGAGTTCAGCTTTTTGGCCCGGCCCTACACGATATTTTCTGTTTCTCATGTGGCCCCAAGGAAAAAAATATTTGCCCACCTCTGGATTAGAGTCAGCAGGTTTGATGTTGTTTGCAAACGGTGATCAGACTTCATGTTATGTCATATTTCAACTAATTTATATAAATATGTGTAGTTAATTTCGATAGTCGTATTTTTCTCACACAGGGCTCCATACGGTAGAATCACTATTATTCACTCATTTATATGAATCTGGGCAGACGCAGCAAATCTAAACTGTCTTTTCCCAAATAATGCACCACTAGAGTTTGGCCCACAACTTGGTCCATTTTTCATTTTGGCCTCTGTGAATTTGAGTTTTTGCTTTCGTGGTGTAAGGGTGAGTTGCACTGGGTGATCCAAATAAATGTTTAAAAAAGGGTTAAAATTATATTTAGTTTGCAATTATTTTGATATTACGTAAATATTTGTCAAGTTCCTTGATCAATGTTCGTAAGCAAACACATCATTTTTGAAACTCTGTCGTGAACAGAAGTACTTCAGAATGTTATTGCGCCAGGTGTAATTTTAAGCATTCAAAGAAAACTGCGAGCCAGTTTATTTTTTCCATTTTGTTTATTAAAAATGTCATTTCAAATCTCATGGATATCTGTAAAACAATACAATGAAAAAAAAAAAAAAGTCCAATAGAAATGATGTCAAAATAACCAGTCTTTTCCCCCATATAACAACTGTCCCCCGCCCTGAACCTGAACGTCACGTCAAAAAGGAATGAGCATCTGTCGTTTTGCTATAGCCACAAAAAGGGGAAAAAACAGCTCTTCCGGGATCAATGCCCCTAAAAAGAAACAGGGATGAAGTGAATATTGAGGTCTGCTGCTAGTGCTAAAAGTTTACAACACCATGGCTTGAGTCGACGCATAATAGGGATTTTAAAACGGGAACGAATGGGCAAAAAATTACAGTAATATATATATTTATAAGCAATGTTACCACCAAACAGCCATTTCTGACTCAAATTAACATTATATAGATGTTAATACAGATTAGAATATTGTGCCGTGAGATTTGAGTTTTTTTTCTACATTTTTAAAATAATTCCTCGAAAATGGAAAACGGTGTGAAACAGTCCATGCCCAATAGCACAAAGTTGAGGTGTCTAGTTGCTTCCTTCCAACATAAGTGTGTTCACAGTATTTACAGTGATTTCTGTTTTCGTTAACTAATTCACCTTAGTTTTTAAAATGTTTATGAAAATTGGCAAATGTGGGGAAGCTTCGTAGCAAGTTTACGCATCGAAATGACACTGAGGTAACCAGTGAGGTGTAGAAATAAAATCCAGATTGCTGCAAATAAGAAAGTACATGGATAATTCTGTGAAAGAACTGATCTGAGAGGTAATTTAGAGTGAAATTTAAAGTGAACTAAACAGTGCTTGGTGGTAACATGGCTCATTTTTCATTCAGTCCCATTTTAAAAAGGTTAGCCCAGTATTTTGTGTTTTCTCGGTTCTGATGGTCGGTTTTGGTCGATGCGCCGCCCGTTAGGTGGAACAGACAGGAGCAATGAACACAAGCCAACGCCACGTCAAGTCCAGATCGAGACGGTTCCCATGTTTTTGAAGGAGCTTGAGTGCAAAGTCATTCTACTATTGCTACTGCGATTACTGCTATTTCTATAATGAGGTAACTTGGTACATGACAAAAATGAAAAGCATCAGATGCTAAAATAAATTACACTAAATGAATTGAGCCTAGAGTAGACCCGTTTTAGTCCTGGTTCACACCTTCTATAAACCTGGTATAGATCTAGTTTAAATCTGATGAATACCTGCTTTAGACCTGGTTCAAACCCAGTTTAGGCCAGTTTTTTATGAGGAGTTCAGACCTGGTTTAGACCCGTTTTAGTCCTGGCTCTTAATGAAAAGGAACACACTTCCACTGAAAGGGCTTCAGTCCTGGTTCAGACCCAGTTTAGTTTTCGTTCAGTCGTGGTTCAAGTCCCGGTTCAGACTAGGTTTAGTCCCAGTTTAAGTCCTGGTTCGGACCCAGTTCAGTCCTGGTTTGGACCCAATTTAGCCCTGGTTCAGACCCGATTTATTCCTGGTTTAGTCCCGGTTAATGTCCTGGTTAAAGTCCTGGTTCAGTCCTAGTTCAGCCCCAGTTTAGCCTTAGTTCATTCCTGGTTTGGACCCAGTTTGGTCCTGGTTCACTCCCAGTTTAGTCCTAGTTTAGTCCCGGTCCGAATACGTTTCACAACCACTTTAGTCCTGGCTTGGACCTAGTTCAGTCCTTGATATGGATCAGAGTTGCATTGGTCGGAGTTTTGGAAGTTTCTAGACTCTCGAGGCTTCTGTTAATTGTTCCGTCAGAACGTCACTGCTCCTGTTACTTCTACAAAATACTGGGCTACTGTAAAAGCCTATTACTCTCACAGACAAGGTTCTGTTTGTCTTTCCAAAGTTCAAGATGTCGTGCTGTTTTTGTATTTTTTTTTTTCCTTTATCAATTTTTTTTTTACTTTTTACTTCATTTATTTTAGGTAGATGGTCTCACAATTCAGGGCAAAGTGCCAATGACCTTTTTATATAAAGATGAAAAATAAACATGGCACCAACTACAGGCGAAGGTGGTGAAAGCTTCTCAATGTAGAACGAAGCGCACGAAACGGGTAAAAAAAGAAGAAAAAAAAAGTAAAAAAAAAAAAGAAAGAAAAATGAACAATGAACAAAATAAAATTAAAATATTTGCTCCCGACAATGAGTGGAAAAACCAAACAAGAAATACACATTGAGGTTCTGTTGGGGTTTAGTCGTCCTCTCCTTCGTCCTCCTGCAAAACAGAACATTTTTTTAAATGTATTGAGAATCTTAAATTTTAGGATTAACTTGAACATTTATTAATTGAAAAAGTAATAATTATAATTTTAAGGGCCCATTTTAAGCAGATCTGGAGTTGTATTTTGTTTCATTTACACGTTTAACACACAAACCCAGCAGATTTACATTTCGGAATTCTTCTCTCAAACTGAAAACACTGTTCCAACTTGTGATGTCATGTGGTGATACAGGAAGTGCTCTGTTGTGTTTTTAAACTCCACACCCCTTCACTAGAATCATTCAGATAATGGGATCTATTCACGCTTACGTCACAAAACCAGATGACTTTTGGAGGCTCGCAGATGATGAGGCCACTGATGTTTATTTGGTCTCACGATAATTTATGATATTATTTTTTTTTCTCAGACCAAGAGTTTGTTTTTCATACCTGACAGTTTCGACTGCTCCCTGCGCTCTTCCTCAGAGTCTCGTGATGTTTCTGTGTCGTGTCGCTCAGTTGATTTAAACAGGTTTTAGCGCCGTTTTCCTACCGGTGGAGGCAGGACGACAGCGCCATCTGCAGTCCCACTTCCTCAGGACTGTATCACAGGTGTGTGAGAGTAAAAAAGCCCCTCGTCCCAGTTTATCGTCCCACGGGCATGTTTTCGTATTTCGACTAACTCTTTAATCCATGTGTTCCTTTGTCCCAGTCCAGAATGTGCTTCTCTCTTTTATAGTGGTCAGAAACGACCGATTTGAGTTGTTCCTGTTCTGCTTTGTGTTTTGTTGCTCGTGTCCTTCGCCGTTTCCTTCTCACATTCTGTTCTTTAAACTGGGACGAGGGGCTTTTTTACTCTCACACACCTGGGATACTGTCCTGAGGAAGTTGAACTGTAAACCTGTAAAACCTTTTTAAATCAGCTGACCGACATGTTACAGCAAGATCATGTGACTGTGAGGAAGATCATAGTGAGCAGTCGAAACTGTCAGGTATGAAAACAAACTTAGTCTGGAAAAAGAACCTAATCACATTTACGCAGATGACGACTTCCTTTGGGGCTCTGTTGGCGAAAGTAACTGACAAAATCTGTGCAAACCGAGGCTATATTTATATGAAGATGTCTGAACAGAAGATGCAAAAGTGGCGTTGCCTCTTCACTTTTTATTCCGTGTTTAGACGAGCATTTTCGGGAGGAAATCTGCGTGCATACAGTGAAGCAAAAGTGTGTGGAATTAGACTGGGTATACCATCCGATGTGTTTAACTTTCTGACTCTGGAGGGTAGTTTCAGAATTTTGCCTTTTAAGCCCCAAAAACAGCATCACTGTCTAAACAAAAGGCACTTCCGATAAAATATTTTGTCGTTTTTACCCACACCATTCTCATGTAAACAGGCCCTGAGGAGGAGAAGGACGAGGTTTTTGACCGTGGCGTTTTGTGGGGCAGTGGCACCAACGTCCGTAGAAAGAAACGTGTGGGTGCAGAGTCGCTGCCAAGAGGGGTGGGATTGATATCTGCTTCACCGCTTCACTTACACGGAGTTCAGACACAATTTTCATCTGATGAGAAGAACGTTTGTGTGCATTTGTGAGCGCCTACTTATAACACGTCTGCAGCTTGTTGATGACGTGTACGTGGGATGAATGTGACCTGGCCATTCAGACTGAAGTCACATATCAAAAGATCAGATATATAGAATTGGTTTTAGGAGCACATATCCAAATGGCCTGGGTCACATTTGAAAAAAAATTGAATCTCTATCGTTCAGACTGTCATTAAAACAACAGATACAGGTCACATGGGGCGAAAAAAAAATCAGATTTAGGTCACTTCAGTCCGCAGTCTGAACGTAACCTTAGTAACTCGACCTCAAAACCGAAATATTTAACCATAAAACAACAAACTCTGCATTTGATGAGTGTAATATTTAACTTCACCCATCTGTATTTAACAGTCTTGCTCTACAAAATGTTGTGCCGTCTTATGAAACCCAGCGGTCGTTCAGCGTACCTCTCCGTCCTCTCCTTCATCCTCGTCATCCTCCTCTCCGTCCTCGTCTCCTTCTTCGTCGATGTCTTCCAGACCCTCTTCGTCCTCATCTTCCTCCTCCCCCTCTCCCTCCTCGTCGTCCATATCCGGGACCTGGGAGGAAAAAAAATAAATAGTGACACACTTGAGAATACGGCGTTTAACACAAGGCTATACTTTTCCTTTTCAGAATCATAATGCACCTTTAACTTCATATCGGGAATGAGGGGCCCATCAAATGCTTGTATCCACGGAGATGTTATTCCTTTGAATGTTTCACAGTGTGGCATTTAAGCTTTCCATCTCCATGGAGACCAAACCAGACCAAGTTACAGGTCAGATCTGTGGAATGGCGACCTCACTCGTAGTGAAAAAGTTGTTTTTCTGTGTATTTTTGAGCTATAAAACCACTTGGAATTTAATACATGTAAGTCATAGAACATTTCCAGGCAGAGCAATGGCATCTCCATAGAAACAAGCAGGAGATGGACCCAAAAAAAGCAGCTTTAAAGTTGTTACGGTCTCATTAATAGAACTTTATGGCTCAAAAATGGCCAAATAAGTTTCCAACAAATTAGTTTAAGATCTGGGGCTCCAACTAATGCTCATTTTTAGTAATTATTTTTTGGGTTTAATAGTTAATCCATTATTTTTAATTCTACTCATTTTAAAAGATATACGATTCTTCAGTCATCATATTTCAGCTTTTGTTTGGTTGATTGAAAAGTGGAATATTTATGAATAATTATAAGTAGAGCTGCTTGATTATGGAAAAAAAAAAAAAATCATTATCACGATTATTTTGGTCAATATTGGAATCACGATTATTTTTTAGTTAGACAATGCATTTATTTAAGATTTCCCTTGAAAAAACAAAAACACAAACACTTTGTTATTGATAATTTACGCAAAACTTTCAAACTGAAAATAAACATAGGCTACAAATATGAACCTTAGAGTGGTTTTGCGATGTATAAAACATAGAATAAAATAATCTTCTCTCAAAACTCCGGTCATGCATGGAAGTGAATTATGAAAGTGGTGTGGCTCTGTGCTGTGGACTTTACAGACTGGCACCAGTAAAGTCATGTGGAAATTGCACTTTTTGTTTTGTTTTGAGGCAATAAGGATATATTTAGTTTACTTACGGACTTGATATTTTGCACTTTTGTACTTAAGGCCCTAAAATTAAATATTTTTTAGGTCCACAAAGTTGTTTATACATGTTTGGTATGTGTTTTGTATGAGAGTGTGAATTTTATTTTCTGTTTTTTTCTGGTCTGGTCCTACAGCTTTTACTACAGCCATATGACACAACTACAGCAATAGATTGTGAAATAACAGGTTGAACTGAAAAATAAGGATGTATAAAACTTCACTAGGTAGTAAAAAGGGAGAGTTAAGAGCAAAATTAAGAAAAAATCCAGGGACAAATGCGCTAAAATTGCCCTTAGGTCTGGAAGTGTTATAATCTGCAGCCCCACACAAAATAATACAACCCGAATGACGATGGAGGTGCCCGCTAAAAGAGCTCTGACGGGCATCGGTGTTCGGTGCGTTACCAGGTAGTACTGCAGGGGGTTGGGCCAGATGTCGTCCTTGATGACCTCGCCGAGCTCGTCCGCTCCGGCGTCGGCGTGGTCGGTGAACCAGGTGAAGAAGCTCTCAGGCTCCTCGTGTTGCCTCTTCCTCCCGCCTTTGTTCTGTGACTGACTGACGCGCTTGGTCAAGTCCTGGCAACACAAAACGCACGCAAAAATAAGATAGAAAAATAAGTCAAACAATCCATTTTATTTTGAATTAAACATATACAGTGATATAATTACACCTTATTTAACACCTGCAATTTTTTTTTTGCAACTTATTTACAATTTATTGCTACCGTTTATATTTTTTACTCTTTGGTATTATATTTTATTGTGATGTTTGAGCTCCTGAGTCCAAATAATTTCCCTTGTGGATCAATAAAGTTTGTCTTAGTCTAATAATAAGCACAAAAATAGACAAAAACCTGACTTTTAAGATTTTTTAGAACCCTGCTCAAAACTTTTATTTCAAAATGTAGTGTTAGTCATAAATGTTGGAGGAGGTGTGGACTTGTGGGCGACCAGACTCACATATTTTGGGACTGCCCCAATATAAAAGGTTTTTGGATTAATGTTAAAGATGTTCTACAAAATATATTGGCTGTGGACCTGTTGATGGACCCAAAGGTATTTCTGCTTGACATATTCCCTGACGGTCTCTCTCATGATCAGAGCTTTCTGCTGCATTTTCTTCTGTTGACTGCAAGAAAAATGATCACGATCTACTGGCTGAAACCTGAAATACCGACCGTTGAACAGTGGAGATCAAAAATCAGACAAGTTTATACAATGGAACTGTTAACGGCTCAACTACAGCTCAAGGTGGCAGCTTTTGAAAAGAAATGGAGTCCAATTACTGACTTTTTGAAATAAGACACGTATGCCCTAATATGCCTTATTCTTTGTGTTTTGGTTTTAATTTTTTAAATTTGTTTTTGCAAATTTTAGTTTTTTTTTTTCTCTCTTTCTTCTTCTAGATGGGGGAGTGGGGAGAGAGATGGGGCAAAAAAGTGAATATATAAACTGTGAGAAGGCCCGGTCTCAGGACAGTGTTGATGTGATTTGATTTGTGGCAATAAAAGTTCAAAAAAAAAAACAAAAAAAAAAAACCTGACTTTACTGACATTTAATTTTTTTGATATTAGATTAACACTATTCATCCTTCTTTTTTTTGACATAAATAAAAACATAAAACTACAATTACAATGCTCCAAACATTTTTTTTAAACGAGATATTCCTTATTTTACTTAAAAAGCAGAGATGGAACCTGTTGAACGTGTTAAACCGTAAAATTATTCCTCACTTTCCAGTTTAGAGCAGCTAGGACTGATGTTATTTCTTATGCCGTTTTGTTTTCTCTTTTGTATGTGAAGCGTTTTGTGACCCATGTCTGTGAAAAATGCTGTATAAACAAAACAAAAAAAAGTAATTTAATTAGACAAACTTAACTGATCCACAAGGGAAATTCAGTTTTGAAATTTTCACTGACAAACTTTCAAAAATTTTCCATGACTTTTTCATGATCTAAAGTGAATTTTCCGCAGCATCTACATGTGTAGAATTGATCAGACTTTCAGGGCTAAATATGAAATGTTAACTCTTTCCACTCATATTATGGTTTGGGATTATAGTTTAACATTCAAAATCCTGTCAGTGCATTTATTGTCATTTCTTTAAAAAAAAAAAAAGGCGCAAAATTCCAGAAATATTCAAAATAGTCTAAGGAGAACTTAACAGAACGCTGTAGTTGTGTGAAACAGATACTAAAACTCCATGACTTTTGTAGGTCTAAAAATGGCACTTTTAATTTCCATGACTTTTCCAGGATTTCCATGACCGTGGGAACCCTGGAAATGACATAAAATGACTCACTTACATTCTGAGCATCCTAATTATTCAGTTTTTAAGCATTCTTCGCAACTTTCCAGAGGCCAGAGCGGGAGTTTCGCAGTCTCGGTAATGTCAACAACAAGAACAACTAGTATGCTAATCGCAAACCAGAATTACTTCCTGGTAAAAATGTGCTCTGTCATTAGACGCAGACAGCACACAGCAGTCTCATATTGACCCTAGAGCGGCTTTTGCAGTCTATTAGAAGCTTGGGCAAGGCGACAAAAGATAAAATCCCTTTAATATTATCACTACTGCATTACTGTGAGCACTGCCAAACACATTTAACCATGGAGTTTTAATGGTGTGTGTATATAAACATTGTACAGACCTTCCCTGATCTCCATTTGATTTCTGTGGATTTTGAAGAGGGGTCTCCGCTCTCGTTCAGATGAAACTCTTTGGAAAGGACTTTGTTTTCGAAGTATGGATTTTCGTCAAAATACTGCAACGGACAAAAAAAGATAAATGTGTCAGAAGAGGAACAGCAAATATATGATAAGGATGGTTCAAACAAGTTTTTACCGTAGCATTATTTAAGATTGCGTTTTACTTCTATTAAATTAACCTACATATTACAATAGAGACTTATTAAACACCTTTTCCTCATAAGCTATACATCAGGGGTGTCAAACTCATTTTGGTCTGGGGGCCGTATCCAACTGACTTTGATCCCAAAGGGGCTGGATCAGAAAACTCATGTCATATAAACCCCAAAAATAACAATAAGTTCAAATATTTATGTAGAGAAATGCAAATCTATTACAGAAATCTTTTTTAATTGATGAACTCTTTCTTTTACAAAATATTATAATATTATGAACAACCTGAAACTTAAAGAAAAATACAATTTCAACACAAAGTTTTAACATGAACTTGTTTAACATTAACTTGTATAAATAGGAATAAATAAATTTTTCTTGTAAAATCCTGCACTCGGCTCCACTTTTCTCATGTTGGACATTTTTCTGATGAGGGTGTCACGGTCAACAGTCAAAACGATCGTCCTTTAAGAGCGTTTGGAAAGAGACAAGTCTTCATTTGTGCTGCTCTGGTGGGAGGGGCCACGTACAGAGACGCTGGAGACGCTGCTGTGCTCAGCACCGCAGAAAATTAACAATATTTTAATAAAAAATAGAATTAAAATATTTTAGTAGAAAATCAGCCGAGGGCCAGATTAAAGGTCATTGGAGGGCCGGATCTGGCCCCCAGGCCGCATGTTTGACACCTGTGCTATACATGATTGCTCCTCATTACCGTTTTTGTCTGTCCTGTCCTTGTTTTAGTGTTAATTTATTGTGAAGAATCTTTGTGTTAGAGAGAAAAACACTACTTAAAATCCATGTATTATTATTATTATTAATATACGACATTGCCAACAATAGATGAACCTTTACTGACTGAAATTAAATCTCTTTTCTGAAAGTTTTTAAACATAAACCCAATGCAAAAGTAGAAGTTCTGTACTTACAAATTCTATTCTGTAGCCCGACTTGATGTCCTCAAACTCTGTGACCTCGACCCGGCTCAGGTAATGCAGCGCCTCCTCGTCCTCCTCGCCGAGAAGAGCGGATACTACAGAAAAATAACACCACAGAAAAATACGAGATCAGTACTTTGAAATACACTTCATTAAAAGGACTGGGACTGTAATGATAAAGTTATTCTGCTACAACTAGATGTATGCAACCTTTTTTACTTGTATATTTCCATTATAAATACTGCTGCTTTTACTATGTTTATAAATCTTAAGGCAATTACAAAGACTACTGTCCTCTGCTTTGTTGCAGTGTCAAGAAATTATTGGTACTCTTTAAATTTCAATCCTTGGAATATGACATTAATGACTACAAGCTGAACAGGTTGTATTTAACCTGTTACCACCCACCTCATTTTGGTGTGTGCACAATAGCACTACATACCCAAATGCCATAGCTTATTAAAAGAAAACCTTAGGACCCACATGCTTGTGTGAGGCACCATTTTAAAGCTTAGGCCTTCTAGTTTCTGTAGATATGTACATGAAGACTGAGTGCTGCCTAACCTACAGTACAGTCAATTAAAATTGAAAAAAAATTGTATTTTTTTGCTTCGAAAAAAATAAAGGCCTTAGCTTGGGCATACTTCATGCTAGGCATTTTTGACTCACTACACTCATTGTTCAAGTTGTTGGCAACAACTGTGTAGAATTTCAGATCTCTAGGACAAAGGGTTTTGATGCTGTGAGCCTTTGTGTATACAAAATGACAATTCGGCACAAGATTGCCAAATCTGTGCCAAAATAATAATAATAATAATAATAATAATAATTGTTATTATTATAATACTAATTCTTCTGAGCTTTAGGCATGTTTTCTCAAGAAAAAAAACTAAAAGTAGCCAAAATTGTCCTCCAAGTGGAAGATCTGCCTTCTATACCACCGCCTGCACTGCTCCCTGTCTCCCTCGCTCTTACGCTTATAAACACCGTGTCCGTTTCAAATACTATCTGAATGTCCCACCCACCGTTTGAAAGCTCTGGTGATAGGCTAAAACAATATGTCAATCACTTTCTGGAAGATCCAATGACTGAAGAGATTTCCCGTAAACAAACTGATGACGCGTGCGTAAAGCCAGGAAGTGCGTGGGTGCATTAGCTTCTTCAGCGGCTTGTCCCAGCTAAACCACGGCACCGACAACAGCGGGGAGGGTCTCATTTTGAAGCTAAGAGTGTGAGGAAAACAAGCGCACCCAACAGTGCTAGCAAACCTGCTAGAAACGCAGTGGAAGAAGGGAGAGAATAGAAACTTTTTATTATATCATTGTATCCATCGATTCATACAGACGAGGGTTTTCTGGATTATTTCCCCACATGGAATTATTTTATGGAAAAAACAACTTGATATTCTTTTTCTGTGGATTATTACGGACTTATTGATTACAACTTTTCATGGATTGAACGCGTTTTGGACCAACAGAACCGGCTCAAAAGTAAGAAACGCGTATTTTATTCTTTGATTATGATGTGAATTTTTAAGTTATAGCGTTTTGGGCTCGTTGTATGGCATAAAATGAATGGTATGGTTGTTTTATTGAGAAATTAATCTTTCAAACGATGTATGGCATGCCAGTAGTGAAAACAATAATGAAGGTGAAAATACAGAGTGAAATTTTTTTTTTGGAAAATCACCCGCCGGCGGGCGGGTGGATGGTAAGTGGTTTTAAGAAGTGTTTCTACAATGACATTAAATTTGATACATCCTTAAATACACACATTTCTGTTTTACCTTGTGGATGATTGACGAATGTGGTGACCCAGAAGTTTGGGATTTTGCCGATCAGTTCTGACCTCTTCTGAAAGAACGGCTGACGGAGTTTGTTGTATTTCTGTTCTACTTTAAGGATCTCCTCACTGGCACTTTCAATCAACCTGAAAAAAACAAGATTGCAGTTTAACACATTTGTCATGCCACACTGAAAACAGTTACACAGATTTAGTTCCTCTTTCTGGCAAGACACTTTCAGTTTGATAGAATGCATGATTTCACATAAAAAATAAGGAAGAAAATTTAAAAAAATCAAACACAGCTAACCAATAAAATTCATGAATAGAAATTACCTGTCAATTTCATTCTGAACTTCATCAATGTGTTCAATGGCCTCTTGTTGCTCTTTTTCTGAAAAAAAAAAAAAAAAAGTGTTAGAAAGAAGGAATACACAAATGTACATAGACATTTACATTTTTGTTTATGTAATTTATAAAAGACCAAAATGTAAACACACATTTTAACCAAAGAAACATTGTTCACTGCATGGCAATGAATTGTGGCTGTGCAAAAATGTAACCATATCGATATATTGTATTGTTTAATGTGATGCTACTGTATTGATATATCACCAAGAGTATTTTTTTGGTGTATTTGACAACATTATTTTGTAACAGCGCTAGTTTTGTTATTTGTTTAGGAGGAAGGAAACTTGTTTAAGCAACACGTGTGACATTTTCACTGTTTTGATGAATAAAATGGGCGTTTTTCACATTAACTTTGCACAAGAAGTGGTTTAACAAAGACTTTTACTATCACAGCCATGATTTAACCTTCACTTTATTATTGAACTGTATCGAATAGTTTAGAAATATATTGTATAGAATCGAAATCTCACTGTGTCAAGATACATATCGAATCGTGGCTTATGTATCGTAGGTATGTACAACGAATAAGTAGAATATATTTTACAAATATTTATGACCAGAACCAACTGAAATTATGCATTTCCAACATGTAAATTATGTTTAATTGTCCAATAAGAACTTTAATTTAAGACAGTTTAAGTTACATTGTGTGTTTTTTCCACAATTAAATAAAAAGGAGTCATTTGCGATTTCTGTAAACTGTAAACAAAAACAACATGTAAACAAAAAAAATGCCAGAAGACCACAGGATTACCAGAAAACTGTCAAAAATGTCTTAAAAATACGGTTTGCTTACATGTGTTAATGTTGTTTTATTTGATAACGCAAAGCACGGGCAAAGACGATGACAAAATTAGTTAATTTTTCGATCGCAGAGATAAAAATTGACATGTTTACAATAAGAACTTTAATTTAAGACAGTTTAAGTTACATTCCTTGTGTTTTTCCACAATTTCATAAAAATGAATCATTTGCGACTTCTGTAAACTGTAAACATAAACAACATGTAAACAAAAAAACGCATAAAGACCACAGGATTACCAAAAAAACTGTCGAGAATGCCTTAAAAATACTGTTTGCTTACACGTGTTTGTGTCATTTAACTTTGTTTTATTTGATAACGCAAAGCACGGGCAAAGACGATGACGAAATTAATGAATTTTTTGATCGCAGAGATAAAAATCGACATGTTTAATAAAAATGAATCATTTGCGACTTCTGTAAACTGTAAACAAACAAAAAAACGCATAAAGACCACAGGACTACCAAGAATGTCTTAAAAATACGGTTTGCTTACATGCGTTTGTGTCATTTAACGTTGTTTTATTTGATAACGCAAAGCACGGGCAAAGACGATGACGAAATTAATGAATTTTTTGATCGCAGAGATAAAAAAAAAAAAAAAAAAAACCCGACATGTTCACGTGTAACTCCGGCACGAAAACGCTCGCACAAAGTCATCTACGTTGCCGACATTTATCCGCGAAACAAAAGCCCGTGTTTGTGTCCGGAGATGAGGCAGAACCCCGGCGGCCAATCGCAGCGGATCTAGCGGCGCAGACACTCTCCGTTTCCGGCCACTGCTCTCGACGAGGCCGCGTGGTTTGAATGTGGGACGAACAACACACCGCCAGCCGCAATAAACGTGCTCAGAGCCCAGAGAGAAGCGGAGAGCCGGGCCACCCACCCCAAAAAAACCCCGCTACTGACCAACTCCGTGTGTTTTAGGACATTACACACTCTCTGATTCATGCAGAACGCGCGTGTGGGGCATTTAAACGCGAATTAGCAAGAATAACACCACCGCTAGCGTTAGGTAACATTACAACAACAATAGCAAGCGGCTGATGCTAACGCGGTCGAAAGGCGCACGTTCGCCTGTAAATAAACGCACACGCCGAAGAAAATAAAGCTTATCTATTGGAAACGACACGCAATGAGTGAAAAAAGCACAGCGCTCACCAAAAATCACCAAATAAACCCGTAGATACCGACACATCTGGCCACGCTGGGGGATGCTAACGCGGAGCTAACCGAACAACAGCGGGCTAACGGCGTGCTAATTATGCTACGCGCAACGTGAGGAATAAATAACAAAAAAACGGGGGGATAAGCCAAAGCAGAAAAGAGCAAATTAAAGCAACGCGCGGGGGTCGATTGTGGCTGAATTGCAGGCTGCGCAGCGGGGTAATTACGAGGGGAAAGATAAGCAAAAATGGCGGTGAATGGAGCGAGGGAGGCCGCCATTCCGCTGCCCCATAGCTCCTTCTTCTTCTCACCGGAGGTCTCGTCTCCCGCGCCGTCGTGGTTGGAGTTCGCCTCTTTTTTACTCGCTTTCGCCGCCGAGGCCGACATGTTTTCCGCAGGCTCGCAGATCTCTGAGCAGGGGGTCAAAGCGCTGGAGGATCGGGGAGGATCGGGAGAAATACGGCGCAAAGTTGCAAGAAGGAGCCCAGAGACAACAGCGCGCTACCGCTCCGTCCACACACAATGTACCGCCGAGGAGCGAGCGAGTCCCGGTCGGACGCTTTGGGCTCCAGCGAGCTCCGCCTCTCAAAATAGGTCTCACTACTATGGGACACTTAAGCGTATAATAACAACCCTCTCGTGAAAAAAGACGTGGCTTTGCATCGCGGCGTGAAAAGTGATTTTATTTGACTGCGTAAAGTGATTTTGAAAGTTGGGGGAAAGTAAAAAAGCAGGCGCGGTAGAGCGGGGCCGACTCACAGTGGCGCATTAAAAAGATGCTGAGTAGGAATTGAGTAGGAGCAGAAAAGTGAAGCCGTGTCCTGTCCCACACAACACTTTCCCCTTTTTCTCTTTACGACAGTCTTTACCCAACTTTTTTTCTGGGGACCCGTATTTTAAAAATAACAAACATTCGTGACCCAAGTCAATAAACATTATTCGTAAATCACAAAATAAAGGTGGATTTGAGCATTATTGAACATTAACGAGGATATTTTATTGTTGACTGTGACCGTGTCTCTCTGAACCAGACATGTCAAACTCCGGCCCAGGGACCAATTTTTGCCCGTGATATAATTATATTTGGCCCTCAAGATCATATCAAATATGTATCGCTATATAGAGCTGCCTGCCAAGCACAGATAGACTGTAGAGACATTATTTAAAATGTAATTATTTTATATGATGCTTGTTCTGGATTCAATGTTTAAACAAAACTATTATTAAACATTTATTTTAATAACAAAATATTTAACGTTACATATCTCAAAAGATGAGAAAACATGCAGATGTTGTTGAAATTTTTGTATAAATATTTATTTTGACCCACGACTTAGTCCCAGTTTTTAATTTTGACCTCTGTGAATTTGAGTTTGACACCCCTGCTCTAAACAATTATTATTACTCAAGTTTTAAACCAGGGGTGTCCAAACTTTTTTCATCAAGGGCCACATTTCTAAACACAGACGAAGCAGAGGGCCGATCGAGGGCCATAGACTGGTGCTCAATATAGAGAAAAATTGAAATATGTGCATGTTTAACAAGTTAGAAAGAGCCATCAGTCTTTATTCAGGCTAAGATCCTTAAAACCTAACCACACTAATTATTAAATATTTGCTTTATCAACATAGATTTTCAAAAAACTTGCAGTAAAAAGCTAATTTTTAATTGATGCAAGATAATTTGGGCCAATTCACCTGGAAGCCTGAGGGCCAAGAAAAATTTGTCTGAGGGCCGCATTTGGCCCCCGGGCCATAGTTTGGACATGCCTGTTTTAAACAATGAAAAACAGTAATTGAAGCAGCAATTAAAGAATCATAAGTCGCCTATTTGGACATCAAATTATGCCCATTTCTTTTTCTTTTCAATATTCAATTGAACCAACAATACTGGAACAAAACAGTCAATAAAATAATTATAAAAAGATAAGAAATTATACAAAACACATCTTAGCATTTCAACATGTGTCAGAATTATATATATATATATATATATATATATATATATATATATATATATATATATATATATATATATATATATATATATATATATACATATGAGCTGGATGAGGGTGAGAGAGACAAACCACCGTGGAAGGTGAGAAACACATTCTTTTTTCATATATATATGTAAAATTACAATTATATACACCTTCTATGGTGGTTGGTCTCTCATCCAGCTCGGGTCCTGGGGGCCTGAGAGTTCTGCGCAGTATCTTTGCTGTTCCCAGTACTGCACTTTTCTGGACTGTGATGTCTGTCGTTTTTCCTGGTATCTGCTGTAGCCTCTGGTCTTCTTCAGCTCCTCCTTGAGCCCCCTGGTATTTCTCTAGTTTCTCCTGTTCCTTTTTCCTGATATTATCATCTCTTGGTATTGTGATGTCCACCACCATGGCTCTGCTCTGTTTCTTCTCCACCACCACTATGTCTGGTTGGGTCATCACCATCCTGTCAGTCTGTATCTGAAGTCCCACAGGATCTTGGGTCGGTCGTTCTCCACAACCTCTGGAGGTGTTTCCCACCTTGACCTTGGGGTCTCCAGCCCATACTCTGCACAGATGTTTCTGTACACTCTGCCCGACATTTGGTTATGTCGCTGTACGATGTTGATGCTGACTTGTTGATATGGACACTTTTTGCCTTGCCAAAATGGCTGATGTGATGTCATTGTGTTTTCTCGTATAGGCATGCATGTTAATTAGAGGATTAACCCTTTGTAATCAGACTATACCAGAATTTGAATATTATTCCTAATAACAATCCAGCTCTCCCCTCAGCAAATTGTTGCATGGAAGAAAAGGCCAAAAACATGGAGCTCGAGCTGAAAGAAAAAACAAGACATTTTGGCTTTGTGACTTGATTTTGTTTTTATCTTTCTTATAAGAAAATCAAAAGACTGCATGACCTCTGAGTACATTTAGTGTATTTTCTGTTTTCTGGTGTATAACTCTGTCAGCCATCTATTTGACCTTTGAGTTAATTAGAAAGAAGGAAAAAGAGAGAGAGTGAGAAACAGAGAGAGAGGGAGGGAGGGAGGTGGGATGGGAGATTGTGCCGAGTCCTTGACGGTGTCTGGATTACATAACACTATCAAGCAACGAGGGAAACCCAGTATCTCTTTGGAAATGTCCGTTTTGTACCAACTAGTATCTTTTCTCCGTGGTTTAACCCGGTTTAACCCAACAAAATTTGCACTCTGATTGAATTGCCTCCCAATGTCAACAAGGTGACAGTGAAATCTCGCAGTTTAGTTATCACTTTTCATTTTAGTCGGCGAAACACAACAAAGAATGAGTTATTTTGTAGAACCAGTTATGTTTAACGCACGGATTTAACCAATTTATTAACTCTATAAGCCGAATTGATTCACTGAATGTCAACAAGGTGACGCATCTTGCTTGTGGCTGCGACGCATTAGCCTACGCCTAATTTATTCATCCATCGTTTTAATTGGGCATTTCCATCCGAACAGGTGTGACAAATTTCCCCAAAACGCCCGCATCTGGCTCGGATCGTCCCAAAAGGAGCATTCACGCGCATTTACGCATTTACGCATCTCGTTCTCGCCTGTACATGCGTGTGTTCGATCGGTGACAGCGTTGGCACAGCGGCGCGTCATGTGGTCCGCCAGCATCCAATACCGGAGAGGGGGCCGGGGATGGACTGTGCGTTTGAGAATAATATAGGAGGAGAGGATAGGACGCGCACGGAGTCACATTGCAGGAGAAAACGATACGGCGAACGTGGGACAGGACAGGACAGGACGGTGCGGGAAAGGCGCGCGTCGGAGCGGTTTTTCGGGGATGTTTGGAGATGTTGTTTGACGCACGACGCGGAGGGAGACGTCCAGAAGCGAGGGTGAAGATGTAGCGAGGACTATTTGACGTGAAATTGTTAATATTTATCGCGCAGGGGGCTGGACTTGTTGTGGAGGAGACAGACAGGAACACGAGAAGGACGAGAGAGCCGGATCTTTTTCACTTCGTCTACGCGGCATGTCAGCTTAGTCCTCCGAGCGAGCAAGAACGGAGAGGTGAGTGGCGAATTGCAAAGTCATAGCCTACTGTTGTAAACACGTGATGTGGGCATGGTTATTTTTTTATTGCACGTGTGTGGGCATCAGTGACTTGTTACCTCTGGCCAATCAGCTACTTTGACGAGATGAATGCAGGAATTAGTGAGTCTGTTTGCTTTTTATTGTTAGGGGAGTTTCCTGTTTTTGTCAGTAGTTATTGCGTTTTGGTGCCTTAGTTTAGCTTGCGTTTGTGGGAGGGCATCCGAGACAATGTTCCAAAAATAGCTCTATCAAAAGGTGTGATAGATTTGGTTCAGTTGTTTGTTTTTTAACGTCCTGCATTACCCAAAATTGACTCTTGTGAGCTTAAAGTCGTGTTATAACGTTGTTACCTCCTCAAAAACAGAGCTGAAGTTGTGCTTGAGTAATCCTGCATTAGTCTGTCTACGTCTCCAAAGCTCAAAATGTTCTGTTCCACCTTGTGATGTCACGAAGTGAGAGTTTTCATGTTAACATCTGCCTTTGACCTTTAGTTCAGTAGAGATTTTTGGCAGTTCCAGAGCTGAAATCAGGGTTCCCACGGTTATGGAAATCCTGGAAAAGTCATGCAAATTGAAAATGTCATTTTCCAGGCCTGGAAAAGTCATGGAATTTTGTAAATTCAATGAAAGTTTTGGAAAAGTTACGGAATTTTAGTATTAATTCACACAACTGCATCATTCTGTTAAGTTCTCATTAGGCTAGAGGTGTCAAACTCAAATTCACAGAGGCCTAAATTAAAAACTGGGAGTGAGTTGCAGGCCAAACTTCATATTTATTGAAAAATCTCAACAAGATTTGCATGTTTTCTTTTCTTTCGAGATATGTAATTAAACTTAATTAAACCTTTTCTAAATGTTTAATAATAGTTTTGATTAAACATCAAATCCAGAACAAGAATATAAAATAATAACAACATTTTAAATAAATAATGTCTCTATAGCCGATCTGTAGCCGGCGGGCAGCTCTAATGCATATTTGATATGATCTCGTGGGCCAAATATAATTATATCGAGGGCCAAATTTGGCCCCTGGGCCTGAGTTTGACATGTCTGAATTAGGCTATTAGGATTATTACTTTGTTTAAAAGAGACGACAATAAATGCACTGACAGTATTTTGAATGTTAAAAAAACTATAATCTCAAACCATAAGGTGAGTGGAAAGAGTTAACATTTCATATTTAGCCCTAAAAGTAAAAGTCTGATTAATTCTACACATGTAGGTGCAGTAAAGTCATGGAAAATTCACTTTAGGTCTTGAAAAAGTCATGGAAAAGTTTAGAAATTTTGTGATAAAGAGTGGGAACCCTGGATCTGTTATTTTAACTGTGCTCTTATTGGTAATAATTTCTGCAGTCTAGACATTTAAAGGTCTTATATTACCCAAAACAGACTCTTGTGAGCTTTAAGTCCTGTTATAATGTTGTTACCTCCTCAAAAAACAGACCTAAAGTTGTGTTTTGTTTCATTCACATGTGTTTGATTAACTCTTTTATTATTAGTCTACATCTCCAAAGCTCAAAATGCTGTCAGCCACCTGCTTGTCTCCATGGCGATGTTCTTGCCGGGAATGTTCCAAGATATGGCATGAAACTTGTCGATATCTTGCGATCTTTCAATCACAGCTCAAAGACACATTGAAAACTTAGTATTCTCTCCATCAGCCTGACCTTTAACTTTGTCCTGCTTGTCTTCAGAGAGATGCAGCAGTTTAATGCCATACCGTGGAATATTTCAGGCACCACAATAACATCTCCATGGAGACAAGAGAGTGCCGCACCACGTACCAGAAAAGTGGTGTAGTGCATCTTTTCAACTGAATTAATAATAGCCCTTTCTACTTCCGTGTCCAATGTTTGTCAAAAGAATCAAAAATCAGATACTTATCGAAATTGGATAAAAACTTTTCGCAGGTATCGATACTAAAAAAGTCACATTCACAGGACAGAAATTAACCTTTTCTGAACAGCTTTAGAATCAGAGCAAGTATAAAAGCACATAGAGTAGGGCTGGGCATTGTTAAGAAATTGCAGATACGATACATGCCTTGATACAGTGCGCTTTCGATTCGATACGATATATTTCAAATCGATTTGATACGGCTCAATAAAGATAAAGGCTAAATCATGTCAGTGATACTAAAGTCTTTGTTAAACCACTTCTTGTGCAAAGTTCATATAAAATACAAACATTTTAATCATCAAAACAGTAAAAATATCAAATGTGTCGCATAAACAAGTTTCCTTCCTCTAAACAAACACTAAAACTGTAGCTCTGTAACAAAATAATTTATCAAAACAACAGCCCACAATATCAATACTGTGTCATCACATTAAACTATGCGATATATCAATATTTCAATATTTTTGCACACCCTTAACATAGACGAGTATACGCCTAGGGACCACTGTGGAACCTACCTGGACCAATGAGTGATTACACAGATATAAGACGAGAAGGTAATATAAAGGAAATGACTAGGGGTGCCACGGTACAAAAATCACGGTTCTGTACACACTTCGGTTTTGAGGTCATGGTTCGGTTCATTTTTGGTACAGTTTGGGAACAAAATGCAAAACCATTTACTTGTTGTTTATTTGTGTTATTATTAAACCAACAATTAGTTTGAACATCATACAAATGGGAAAATAAAATAAATGTAAAGTGCTGCTTGGTAAAACTAATAAGTTCAACAAAATATTCTCAAATAAACAACAAATGTATGAAATATTATAAAAAAAATTAATTCTTTGTAAACAGTAAACAACAGCATAAAGTTTTATTCAATCTTCAGATTTTTGGCCAGAAAAACCAGCTTGTCCACATTGTCTGCAGTAAGTGCAGATCTTCTGCAGTCACAGTTTCTCCAGTTTTAGTTTTGTGAGGATTCACGTAGTTCTGAGGGACACAGTCAAAGCAGGGCGCAATTGATGTCAGTGGCTTTAACTATAAAGCACTGTGGGAAACACTTCCGCCCCTACAACGGACGAGTTCCTCGTGAATATTAAAGAGCCAAGCCTCCGTGTAGCTGCACATGTAGTGGCCGAATGTAAACACACACAAACTGCACAACCTCACTCGTGCACAGCCCTGCATCGAACCCAACGCCCCCACGAATACATGAACCGTTACACCCCTAGAAATTACTACAATTTAATGTTGAAAATCACATTCTATTGTCCAAATATGATTGTTTTGTTTGTTTTTTTATCGTTGTGGTATGAGAGACTGTATTGAGTGTCGGGAATTCCTTATAAAACCAAAATCGAGTTTGAAATGTTAGTAGTATCGTGACAACACTAGTCTGCATATACATGTTCTAAAGGAGGCCATACCGTACGTTTGCTCTTCCCTTTGTTGACCCCAGTTACAGCCTGTTACCGTGTTCTACCAGGCGCTCATATTATATTACACTGACATAAGCACTCCAGGGTTTCCTATGGGACGGTCCTGCTGAAATGATGGACGCTTTGCATTGAAACGTATAGGCTCCCAGTCTTTTCCCAGTGTTTGATAGATTGACATTAAGCTCTTTCAGTATAACAGTGAAAATTGTTTAACTTCTTGGAACTAGAAGTTTCTTTTCTAGTTCCAAGGCCTCACAGCGTTAATTAAACTGCTTCAAATTGACTCTTGTGAGCTTTAAGTCATGTTATAATGTTATCTTTCTTCAAAAACAGACCTGGAGTTGTGTTTCGTTTCATTCACACGTGTTTGAATAATCCATTATTATTAGTCTGTCAATATCATGGATCTATAATAAGAACTGCGTAAGACACGCACCCGCTGTCCGAGAGCGAGATTGATTAGTGGCCGCTCCATAGTGCAAAAGTGCAGAGTTCAAGAAGAAGGACAATAACGTCTTTTCCCTTGATAAAATTCACCAAACATTCTCTTTGTTCCAGGTTTAAATCCTCGATCTGGGGAATCGTTGCCAACACAGAATGTCTGTCTTCATCTACATCCATCTCGACGCTTTGTTTACTGTTGTGTTGTTCCACAAAAGGGACACAGACAGACACAACGAGTTTGACATCATGACTTCACAGCTCACAGCTGATTGGCCGGTGTGTGCTTTATAACTTCTGGTGTTCTTGTGAATCATCTAGTGTATTCTGATTCCTGACCTAGTCGCTGGAGAGAAATTAAACTGAGCGGAGACACTAGGTGGTGCCAGCCTGGCTACACAATCACAGTCTATGAGTGCAATGCATTTTTTTATGAATTTCCACCGCCCGACCTTTCATAAATGTTGGATTTTGTGCATAAACGTTAGCTTTGTAAGACTTAGTCCAGCCCGTCTCTGAGCCCATGCTCCCTCCGCTCTAGCAGTTCTCGCTCTGATTGGTGAGAACTGCACATTTTTTGGGGTCACATGTTTTGTGGTGTAAGGCAGGTGTTCAGGAAGTAATGCAGAAGTAAAAGTCTTTTTTTGGTGCGATGCGCCAATGAGCACAGATTCTCTCCAGTGACTAGGTCAGGCATCAAAATACACTAGACGGTTTGCAAAACCCCCAGAAGTTGTAGACCGCACACTGACCAATCAGCTGTGAGTTGTGATGTCATGACGTCAAACTGGTGGCGTCTGTCTGAGTCCCTTTTGTGGAACAGAACAACAGTAAACAAAGTGTCGAGATGAATGTAGACGAAGACAGACATTCTGTGTTGGCAACGATTCCAGAGATCAAGGATTTAAACCTGGAACAAAGAGAATGTTTGGTGAATTTTATCAAGGGGAACGACATTATTGGGCGGCAGTAGTTCAGTTGGTAGAGCATTTGCCCACTGATCTGAAGGTTGGTGGTTCGAATCCAGCTCTCGACATAAACATCACAGGTTGAGTGGTCAGATCCACTGACCCACAGGTTGGCTGGTGTGATTCCACGGATGAATGCTGCCGTTGTGTCCTTGGGTAGAAAAATGTGACCATTTACCATTGTCCTTCTTCCTACAGGATTTGGTGCATTACATATATCACGACCAAATAGCAGTGATTGGTAAAAAAAAAAAAAGTACCTGCCTACTGTTGAGCGAACGAATCCTAATGCTGCGAGGTCGGATGGTTTCCACCAAGTTAAACCATCTGATGAATCAGGCCAATTGTCTACATCTCCAAAGCTCAAAATGCACTGTTCCACCTTCTGATGTCATGAAGCAGTAGTTTTCAAGAGATTAATCTAATGAAAGTGTGTGGAGTTTAAAAACACAGTGGAGCACTTCCTGCATTAACACGTGGCATCACAAGAACAGTTTGAGAGGAGAACTTGGCCTAAATGTGCAGGGTTTGTGTGAATGAAACAAAACACAACTCCAGGTCTGTTTGAGACGAGGAAACTACATTATAACATAGAAAAGAAAAAAAATGGTGTAATATATGACTTTGTAAACGTGGTATGTGAGTGTGTTTGTACATAAATGGAGCTGGAGTGTGTGTGTGTCTTGTTAACAGTGCTGGCGTGTGCAGAGGTGCAGAATCAGAGCTCTCCTTCATTGACACTTTGCGCTTGTTCTTATCCTTGTATCAGATGTTGTCCACGGCTCAGCAGATGCTTCAGGACAGCCGCTCCAAAATCGAACTCATCCGCCTCCAGATCATCAAAGTGGCCCAGTCCGGCGTCAACGGCAACAGCGAGGACGGCGGCCACGATGAAACCCGCGGGGACACAGACGGAGACAATCACGAAGGTAGAAAACAATCAAAGCACATGTAATTTGGATTTGTGTGACTTGGTTTGGGATTTGGGTGATAGTTAAATAGAACTGGGAGCATTTGTTCAGTAATCTGAAGGTTGGCAGTTCAAATCTCACTAGGCCTGTCACGATAATTACTATATCGACTTAACATTAAGTATATGAAAGGAACAATCAATTTTTTTAGCTCAATATATATAGTCAGATGTGCATTTTCGTTGTTTTAGTGGGGATTTTTTTGTTTGTTTAGTTCAAGATCGAATAAGTTCATGTAGAATATGTTTTTTTTGGGGATAATCCTTTTTCAGTATTATTGTCTGTATAATATATAACTGTGTATTTGAATGTGAGTTGCACTTGTATTTTAACAAAATGACTTTTTAATGAATTTATGAACTTTTATGGAGCCTATTACCGTCTGGCAGGTCGATGAAACTTGCCTTTTTGAGTACATTTACATTATTGTAATGTTTATTAATGTACAATGTTCCACTGAAAATTAAATACAAGGTTTCCACTGTCATGGAAATCCTGGAAATGTCATGGAAATTGGAAATGTCATTTTCCAGGCCTGGAAAAGTTATGGAATTTTAATATCTCTTTCACACAACAACAACGTTCTGTTAAGTTCTCATGAGGCTGTTATGATTATTTCTGAACATCTGCACCTTTTGTTTTAAAGAGATGATAATAAATAAATGCAGTGACAGGATTTTGAATGTTAAAAAACTATAAAACCAAACCATAAGGTGAGTGGAAAGAGTTCACATTTCATATTTAGATCTAAAAGTCTGATCAGTTCTATACATATAGGTGCCATAAAGTCATGGAAAATTCACTTTAGGTCATGAAAAAGTCATGGAAAAGTTTTGAAATTTTGTCAGTGAAAAAGAGTGGGAACCGTGGATATATCAAACTTCAAAATTTGTTATCGTGACAAGCCTGAAGTTCACTCTTGACATGAAACATCATTGGTAGAGCGGGCAGACCCACTGACCCACTGTTAGCGTTGGGATTCCAGCTCACCCACATGAACGCTCTTCTTGTGTCCTTGGGCAAGACACTTAACCCTCCTTGTCTGTGTACACTGGTGTGTGAGTGTGTGTGTGAATGAGTGAGTGGTTCCTTGAGGTAAAGTGCTTTGAGAGTCTTGAAGGTGGACCTGGATTATTCTGTAAAAATTATGCTGACTTTAAGATTTGATTGTTTATATTGGGTTTTGTTTGGACCCTTTGTGGCAGCTGTAATTTAAGTCTAGAACAGTTCTCTAATCAAGACACATTTTTTACTGCAATTACAATTTAAAACAAAATATTATAGATTTTGAATGGGAATAAGTTCTCAAAATGCATATAACAGGAAACCTAATGGTGCATTGTGTAACTTTTCAAATCCTTGTCTTCACAGTATGATATTAAACCTTTCTATCTTCATGGAGACCAAACCAGACCAAGTTACAGGTCAGATCTGTGGAGAGGCGACGCCGCTCACAGTCAGAACACCCGTTTTTCTAGGTACAGTGGTCCCTCATTTATTGCGGGGGTTATGTTCTAAAAATAACCCTCAACAGGTGAAATCCTCAAAGTCGTCAACTTTATTATTAGATCTGTTTTAAGTCTGTAAAACCCCTCAGCACACACTTTATACACTTTTCTCAGTCAGGACTGTTAAACCTTTTTGCATCCTTCTTAAAACGTATTGCTGCTGTCGTCCTTTTGTTATTTTCCTCCTTCTTTATCTAACGAACTGAAGATTCATTTGTTCCGTAATGGCCCCTACAGCCATGTAACGTCTGCTTTCCTTCAGCGTGTCCAGAAGTCCAACTTTTTGTGCGATGGTTTGCATCTTCCTCTGTCTTTTGGGTTCGAGCGCAGGAGCCTTTGTCGGTGCAGAACGTTTCGTCGACATTGAGGGTTTTGTTGGGGAGAAAACTTGCAAACATACAGCACTTCAAAATCACACTGCTAGAGATCGAACATTTATGTAAATTTGGAAAGCTGAACACATTCTGTACTGTACAGGAGACACGACACGGAGGAGATTGATTGACAGTGGTCTACAGTCCCTCAGCCAATCAGGACGCAGGAGGAGGAACACAATGTAAAAAAAAAGCATGCATAGTTACACTAAAAAAAAATCAGTGAAACAGCGATGCCGCGAAAGGTGAACCGCTTTAAAGTGAGGGAGCTCTAAAACCAAATGTAATTGAATAAATGTTGTGTAGAGCTGTTTAATGTCACACTGTGGAACATTCCAGTCAGAGCAACGACATCTCCATAAAAACAAGCAGGTGACAGATTCCAAACCAAAAAGTTACACAGTGCACCTTTAATTCCATGAATAGGGTCGAGCAGGTGTTTTATTTTGAGTTTTTTCTCACCGGGGCTTCCGTACATAGAGTTTTAAACATCTAATGCTGCAGTAATTCTATAAAAAGCAAAAATCTGTCCCTGATTTCACCTTAAAATCCTTCTTATTTCTCTTTCACTCCACCTTTAGCGTGTTCTGCCTTGGATAAAATTGCCCTCCGCAGCATGTGAGCTTATTATAGAGATTAATTATCCATCAAAGACGTGTGAATGCCGCTGTTACAGCCAGAGCCGAGCAGCACGGGTATAATTTTCACGTCACAGGTTCTGTATTAAACAAACTGACTCCTGTGAACTTTTAGTCGTGTTAGAATGTTGTTCCTTCCTTAAAAACAGACCTGGAGTTGTGTTTTGTTTCATTCACGCTCTGTGCCACTTTGTGATGTCATGAAGTGATAGTTTTAGCTCCTTTTTACATTTAGTCCTGTACACAATAAAAAAGTAGAGTGTTAAAATTGACTCTCACAGAATCAATTTTAACATTTTCTCAGGGTTTATATGAGTCCAGTCTGTTCTTGAGTTAATTTAATATTTTTTGAAATGTTAATTAAGTAACACTGGACCAAAGTTCCTGTTTAACCCCGTAAAGAGTTATATTAACATTTTCAGAGTAAATGTAACTTGGTAGAGTTATCCTGATTTAGCTGAACAACACACAGAGGTGTTTTATTTTCACACTTTATTTTATTTTATTTAGTTCAGACCTGTCTTCTCTCATGGGAGTTTGAAGTGGTGGGTAGGAGGTGCCAAATTAACACTAAGGGAAGTTGAATTAACACTAGAGGAAGTTGAATTAACACTAGAGGAAGTTGAATTATCACTAGGGGAAGTTTAATTAACACTAGAGGAAGTTGAATTAACACTAGAGGAAGTTGAATTAACACTAAGGGAAGTTGAATTAACACTAAGGGAAGTTGAATTATCACTAGGGGAAGTTGAATTAACACTAGAGGAAGTTAAATTAACACTAGGGAAGTTGAATTAACACTAGAGGAAGTTGAATTAACACTAGAGGAAGTTAAATTAACACTAGAGGAAGTTGAATTATCACTAGGGGAAGTTTAATTAACACTAGAGGAAGTTGAATTAACACTAGAGGAAGTTGAAATTAACACTAGAGGAAGTTAAATTAACACTAAGGGAAGTTGAATTAACACTAGAGGAAGTTAAATTAACTTCAATCATATCAAATCTGGCAAATAACCTCAACTCGAACCCTCATTTAACTTTCAAATAGTTAAAATAACACTTTTTGTGTTAAAACCAACTCTGAAATAGTTTACCCTGGAATTTTAACCCCACAGTTTTTGCTGTGTGGATAGATTGACAATTCAATGGCTGAAATTATCCTAATGATTCTAGTGAAGGTGTACGGAGTTTAAAAACACCTGTATCACCTCATGACATCACAAGGTGGAAGTGTTTTCTGTTTGAGAAAAGAACTCAGCCTAAATCTGCAGGGGTTGTGTGTTAAACATGTGCGAATGTAACAAAAAAACAACAATTCCAGATCTGTTTGTGATGAGGAAACTGAATTTTAAGAACACAGATCGGAATGGTTCCATTAAAAAAGTAGGATGTCTGACTCCTTTAAACACAAACCCACCAGAAAAAAGAAGAAGAAGAGGAGGAGGAGGAGAGAGATTTGAATAAGGCGGAGGACGAGAATAGCTCCATTGTTAAAAATAGCCCAGGGTGAAAATAGACTCAGTGAAGCAGGAGCGTATTGATTCAATGTCAAATGACTTTCAGGATATCGAAATATGAAGACGAAAAATCATGAATAGTACAGGACGCAGTAGTGGAATAAGTTATAGTACTAGTGAGGCTAATCCTGCACTCTTACTCCCAAACTGAATTTAATGAATGACGACGTTTTGATCCTACAGAGAGAAAGTTTTTATATTAAGAGGCTCAATTCACGTTTATGTCACAAAACAGGAAAACGTTTGGAAACAAGCGATGACGACTTCAGACAAGTTTTGTTTTTGTGATCATAAGTCTGTCAATATCTAAATAAAATAAAAATATCTATCTATCCTACTAGTACTACTAGGCTACTACTACTACTACTACTACTGCTACTGCTGCTGCTGCTACTACTACTACTACTACTACTACTACTACTACTACTGCTACTACTGCTACTACTACTATTACTACTACTACTAGGCTACTAGTACTACTACTACTACTACTACTGTCACTACTACTACTACTACTACTACTACTGCTACTGCTACTATTACTACTACTACTAGGCTACTAGTACTACTACTACTACTACTACTACTACTGCTACTAGCTGCTACTACTGCTACTACTATACTACTACTGCTACTACTACTACTACTGTCACTACTACTACTACTACTACTACTACTACTACTGCTACTGCTACTGCTACTACTACTACTACTACTACTACTAGGCTACTAGTACTACTACTACTGTTGCTGCTGCTGCTACTGCTACTACTACTATTACTACTACTACTGTCACTACTACTACTGCTACTGTCACTACTACTACTACTACTACTGCTACTGCTACTATTACTACTACTGTCACTACTACTACTACTACTACTGCTACTGCTACTGCTACTATTACTACTACTGTCAC